TTACTATGATTGTGTGAGACGTTCGAGCTCGGGCTGATTCGGCTTGAAGTCGTTTATCCTCGGATGCGGCGCCGCGCGCGCTGGCCGGAGACACACTGGCTGTGTGGCGTGTCCGTTTTTATTTCGGCTCCCATGTTAACAGATTAGAGCTTGCACACTGCCTGCGTGACACGCGCGTCTCCAGAAAACGCGTGCATGCTAGAAATAGAACTGACGCCTATTTTTTCAAGCGACATGCAAGCGTGTTGAAAGCGTTTCCAGGCAAAAAAAGAAATAAAAAATAGGAAACGAAGTTTATGTCATTTTGTACTCGAATAGCCTACATTTTACATTTTGATGTTTGAAAGTCAAGGTTTTTACATAAATTCAGATATCAATGTAATTTAAACAAATAATAATAATAATCGATTTAAATATTGCCATTAGTTTTGCCTAGGCCTATATATAATTTAAGGTCATATAGCTAACATATGAATAAAATATCTTTTCTTTTTTTTTTCATTTGTTTCTTATGCTCTTAACAATGTGATTACACGAAGAAGAAGAAAAAACTTTTGGAAAAAAACGTTCTGGGCCTCAGGAGGATATAAAGATACGATAGGCTACAATAACAACAGTGTGTCTTCTGAGTGACGGTCCACCACCAGGCTAAATATAGGCTCTTTAAAACTACACAAAATGTGTAAATGTAATTGAAATAAACAGACAGCCCACTTCCCTATTTTGTGGGTTTTGGAAGATGTGTTAACAGTTGAAATTGTTGTCATAAAGGCAAGAGCAACACACCGCTAATCCAAATGTAGCCTAGATTTTTTTTTTCTTTAAATGACACTAGTTTCTAGGCTAGTTATTAACTCTTTAGACTTTTAAGGATTAGTGCTTTATTTTTAAAGTTTGTGGGTAAGAATCGTGTAAAAAAAAATCCCTTATTTTGGGGATGGATTCCGGGAAAACTCCCTTATTTTCAGTGTTCAATGTTGACAGCTATGCGTGAGATAGTGTTGCAACCCATCATCAACTGTCATCCAAATGATTTAATATTGAATAGAATCAACCCCCAATTAGAATAATTTAGGCTGAATTTTGTAGCATGAAAACCCCCTGGTTTCAAGAGAAGTATGAACATTCTTCTAAACATTTTCTTTTGTGAACATAACATTTCAGTCAATCCATCTGCCATCCATATTCAATCAGAAATGACCCTCACTGCATTCATATCATATATTCGGTATAAAAAGAATCAGTTTGCACAACCACCTGAACACTTTCCACAGCGGTAGGCCACTGGAGTTTATGGATGCTGATGTTTTAAACATTGATTTTTGCACAGTGAAGTCCCTTCATAAAGGAAATTCAATAAAGCAGCGGCAGAGATCAATATCAATATAATAAGACTCATGCAAAAACCTCATTGTTTTAAAATTATTCTGAATGTTTTGTAATACTGTCCCAAGCATTTCCAAGGTGTTTATATGTGCACATAAACCGAATCTCACGTCTGTGGCAGACTATATAACCTTCTCATCAGATGGAAGCTAAAAATAGTCGAGCCCCCCTCCCCTTCCTTGTTTCTTTCTTTCTTCACCTGCCTCTGCTCACCTTTTTCCTCACCACCTCACGAGTGAGTCTCCCTCTCAACACACACACAGTTTAAACGAGCATCCGTCTTTTATGACTTATGAACAACTGTGACTCATTCGACCAGTCTCTATCCATAATCAGAAAAGTTCACAAGTATAAATAACCACCCGTCTGTTTCCAAAAGACAGAGACGTACTGGAGAAAAGCTCTATTAAATGTTAGCAAATGCAGCGTGACCGTGTGAATGTGTGTGTGGCAGAGGAATGAGATCGTCACAGTGTCTGGTTTTGTTTCCCTGGGTTGCCACTAGAGGTCCTCGTTCTCACGGTGTCTTTCACATTTGACTTCATTTCCCAGCATTCTGTCTGTCACTCATCAGTTCATTGCGCTGTTTCCCATCACATTGTTAGATCTGTGTGTATATATGAAGAGTTCAGATGCAAAAGCCTCTAAATGCCATTTGAAATGTTCTTCTTTAATGATGATTTTTATCAAACTTGTATATTTAAATTCAGTAATTTCACTTAAACAACAATTAATAGGTAATTATCATTGCCATTTAAGTGAAATCACTGAACTTAAATATACACGCTTGATAAAAACGATCAATCTAGAAGAAAATTTAAAATGGCACTTAGATGCTTTTGCATCTGAACTCTTCATATATTCCCTGTCTGTGTCAGTGTTCATTACGGAGTCCTTGTAATATGTCGCCGTATTACAAGGACTTTTGTTTTTATGTTTTGATTGATTTTGGATTTTTGACCCCTGTCTCGATGACTACGATTTTGGATTGCCCTTATTATTCAATATACTCCAATTGGATTTTCTGTTTTCTGTGTGTGGTTTTGTGACAGAGATAAACCGATTAAAGCACCGTGGCAGCGTTTGCTTACGGATGTGTCCACGTCTATTAGATCGAGCGCTCCCAGCTCGTACTGGATGAATGATTCTGCATGCGAGACAGAGAGTTTGCAGATCTGGAGGTGGAGATATTGTGTCTTTAAAGAACTTTCTATTGACCCAATGTCTTCAAAAACATGGTAAAACCACAAATCCCCTGCATAATGAGGGACAGCCAATCAATAAGGCTTTGATAAACACTCTAAATAAAGGGTTTATGAAAATATATAAATGCAGAAAGGTTACTAGGGTTAGGTTTCGAGAAAAGAAAAATCATTAGCTTACTAGGGTGATATCAGGTAAAATGGGCCATCAGGTAAAATGGGCCATTTAAGGTTTGGGGGTCCCAGCTTCTCTGGAATTTAAAGCCAATGACTGCAAAGGATTTCAAACTGTTGTCATAACTGTGCTTGACAAATAACAGGTGATAAGATTGGTTTATGGTTGCTATGGTGGGCGGGGGAATAATTCAAATCGAGACTACACCAAAAAGCTGCATGGTAAGTAGCCTGGCATACCAAATTGCACTGAACTATTATAAGGATGATACATCAATAAAAAAACAAACATGCTCATAAAAAAACTATGCATACTGTCTGTCTCGATGGCATTAATCAGAAATAATGTTGTTAGTTTGGTATATAAACATATTTTTTGTAAAAGTGATGTTTTTCTTGGCGGCCCAATTTACCTTAACCCACTAAGGTAAAATGGGCAACATGGTTTCAGCTAAAATGGGCCATCATCTTTGACACACAGACACACACACACACACACACACACACACACACACACACACACACACACACACACACACACACACACACACACAAATAGACACAGACTCAGACACAGATACACACAGATAGAGACTCAGACACACAGACTGACACACAGACACAGAGACTCAGACAGGCTCAATTTTAATTTTCAAATTGAAATCAGACTGAGACAGACACACAGATACAGACACACAGACTCAGACACACTCAGACACACAGACTCAGACAGACACAGAGACTCAGACACAGAGACTCAGACACACAGACTTAGACAGAGACAGACACACAGACTCAGACACAGACAGACACACAGACTCAGACACAGACTCAGACACAGGAACTCAGACTCAGACATACCGACTCAGACACAAAGACTCAGACACACGGACTCAGACACACAGACTCAGACACAGACACACAGACTCAGACAGACACAGAGACTCAGACACAGAGACAGACACAGAGACTCAGACACAGAGACTCAGACACAGAGACTCAGACACACAGACTTAGACAGAGACAGACACACAGACTCAGACACACAGACTCAGACACAGGAACTCAGACTCAGACATACCAACTCAGACACAGGAACTCAGACTCAGACATACCGACTCAGACACACAGACTCAGACACACAGACTCAGACAGACACAGAGACTCAGACACACAGACTCAGACACACAGACTCAGACAGACACAGAGACTCAGACACAGAGACTCAGACACACAGACTCAGCCACACAGACTTAGACAGAGACAGACACACAGACTCAGACACACAGACTCAGACACAGGAACTCAGACTCAGACATACCGACTCAGACACAGGAACTCAGACTCAGACATACCGACTCAGACACAGAAACTCAGACTCAGACATACCGACTCAGACACAGGAACTCAGACTCAGACACACAGACTCAGACAGACACAGAGACTCAGACACACAGACTCAGCCACACAGACTTAGACAGAGACAGACACACAGACTCAGACACAGGAACTCAGACTCAGACATACCGACTCAGACACAGGAACTCAGACTCAGACATACCGACACAGACACACAGACTCAGACACACAGACTCAGACACAGACACACAGACTCAGACACATACACACAGACTCAGACACACAGACTCAGACACAGACTCAGACACACAGACAGACACAAACAACGCACGCACACACTGACAGACACACAGACAGACACACACACACACACGCACAAATTTTTGTTTTTAAATGGCACATATGAACTATGTTTGTTTAATTTGGCTGTATAAGAAATTGTGTTTAAATATAATTGATGATAAATTGCTATTTCCCTTTGCAATTTGACTGGCCCATTTTACCTGAACAGCTGGCCCATTTTACCTGAAAGGGCTCATGCAAAAAAACTCGGCACTTCTGATGTTTCAGGAACTGTAGGGCCTAAATAATTTTATTTTATTACAAAATTTCAACACAAATGTATCAAAAACAGTCATAATTAATCATAAAAACACATGGATACTGCATATATGGTATTGTATTATTGTCCCAAACAATTTACCAAAAAGTGGCCCAATTTAGCTGATATCACCCTATAAAATTATAGAAGTCAATGTAAAGTGATACGGAAAGTGATGAGAAGGTGATCGAGGTTTGAGAACATCTGAACAATGTCTTTACTCTGTTGACTTTTGAACTGAACAAAGCTGAAGGTAATTAAAAAGAGAAGTGTCTTACCTGAGTCACTCTGGATTGATGTGAAGGTTTGCACTTCCTCTATGCCAGCGAGTCAGCGCTGCAGTGAAAGCACTTGTCTTTCTTTCTTAATGTAAAGAACACCACAAACTACTTCATCAGATCTTAGTAGCCTATAACACAAGACTCCTTATATTTCAGTCACTAAATGGGGTTTTGGATTGTCTTTGCGTTGTGTTGGCATCTGTTTGTTTGCACCTCTTCTTTTGTGTGTCTGTACTGTGTGTTGTTGTCCTGGCGACAGCTTCACTGAGTTCACGCGCTCTTCCACTCCCCTCAGCACCACTCGTCCGCTCTCTCTCTCCCCGCTTTGTTCATTCCTCCATCCAAGCCGATTCATCGGCGCAACATAGAGAGGGGGAGACAGGAGACATGTTTGTGTATAATCAAGTGGTTGGGAGGGAAAACTAAATGACAAAAACATGGTTGATGTTATTAGCTTGAACATACATGAATGGTTGGGTAATTCTAAAACGAAAGCTGTGGATGATGTGATTCTGTTGTATTAAGAAGACATGTGCACCCCTGTACAAACGAGGGTGGTTTGGTCTTACCTAGAGAGAAAGAGAGCGAGAGAGGCATGCAGACTGGATGAGATATATAACATACAGAAAAGTGTTATCAATGATAATGAGGTAATAATTTCACTGTAAAAAGTGATCAGTTGACTTAAAATAATTAATACATGCGTAATTGAAAAGATTAAGTGTGAACTTGACAATTCCATAACTTAATTTTTCAATTACGCATGAAGCTGATTTACTTAATTATTCTATGGGAACCGGTTTCCTCTCTTTTTTTAACTTAAAGGGATAGTTCACTTTGAAATAAATTTTTGATATGTTTTAGCTTACCTCTAGGGCATCCAAGATGTAGGTGTCTTTGTTTCCACAGTATTTTCAATTTTGATATTTTTAGGTCAAACCGTTCTTGTCCGTCAGTCATACACTGGAGGCTAAGGGGGTCCACCAAAAAGCATGCACAGAGAAGTCCAAATTAAACGTGATTTAATGACTCGTAAATGTAAGTACACATTGATGGCCTAAGACACGAAACGAGCGGTTTGTGTGAGAAAACGAACAGTTTTTATATCGTTTTTACCTTGTGTAATCACAGTGACGTCCAAGTGATCTGAATCAGTTGTGCAATGTCTAACTGAACCGAACTGAATCAGTTCAATGTTACGCCGGAAGTGATCGCTTGCGTGTGACGTCACTCAATATTTACACGGAGATTTCGGAAGTTTTACCTTTTACTAAACATATTTAGATATACCGAAATCGTCTTCCATTGCAGTTTTTCCGTATATCTAAATCTTTAGTGAAAGGTAAACCTTTCGAAATCTCGGTATAAACAAAGAGTGACGTAGGCACGCAAGCGATCACTTCCAGCGCATGCGCAGACCGAAGCGCCCGTGCCGTCAGATCATTTTGTCATGGCTATGATAACAAAAGGTAAAAACGATATAAATACTGTTCGTTTTCTCACACAAACCGCTCGTTTCGTGTCTTAGGCCATCAATGTGTACTTACATTTACGAGTCATTAAATCATGTTTAATTTTGACTTCTCTGTGCATGCTTTTTGGTGGACCCCCTTAGCCTCCAGTGTATGACTGATAGACAACAACGGTTTGACTGAAAAAAATCAAAATTGTGGAAACAAAGACATCTACATCTTGGATGTCCTTGAGGTAAGCTAAAACATATCAAAAATTAATTTCAAAGTGAACTATCCCTTTAAGTCAACTGATCACTTTTCACAGTGAAACTAAATGTGAACACAGGATAATAGCCAAAGATTTAATATTACTGTCACGATTATGCTTAGATTCACCTTCATGGACTCTTAGTTTGTTTTTCTTTAGTCACATTGTTCTCAGTTTTCCTTCTGTTAATAAAGTCTGTTTAGAGTAATCGTCTTCATCGTGTTCACCCACTTTGCTTAAGCGTGACAATTACAAGGCATATTGGCAAGACTTTACATTTGTAACATTATTTTCTTGACAATTCAATGTATAGCTCACCCAAAAATGTATGACTTGTGTGTGACTTGCTTTCCTCTGTGGAACACAAAAGAAGATATTTTGAAGAATTTAAAGGTGCAGTGTGTAAATTTTAGTGGTGTGGCTGCGAATTGCAACCAACAGAAGTTACGGTGGCCGACAGGAAAAGATCGTCGTCTGAAACAGCAGAGAATGGCCAGTTAAGCAATGAGGTTTCTTTACAAAGATACATTTTTATTCAGTAAAACTATAACATTATTGTTACTTGTTCATCATTGTGTCTGTGTCCGGGTTTAGGATGTGAATATGACTCGGACGTCAACTTCTAGGTGAGACCAGTGTTGGTGTGGTATAGGCAGAGGGTGAAGTTTACCTTCAGGGAGGTGGTGTGGTGACTTGGAGATGGTGCAGGTGGGACGACTTTGTGCATTATGTTGCTCGTCTTCTTGGGTCATATGAGGCCACCAGAACCAGTTGCAGAGGAGCTAGAGAGTTTGCCTGAGCCTAAGGAAGAATTAGTCCATGAGGGTCAGACGTAGACACTCTTCAAAACATCTCTTCCCCCAGGACAGGATTTCCCCTGTACTCCATGAGATATATGGAGAATGAATGAATTTAAAGCCACGGGCGCCAAGATGATGTCAACAGTCAATCCCTCCAGCACAGGCAGAAGTGATATATCCACATAGTGAGTGCAGCCACAGGAATTACATCAGTAACCAGAAGCTCATCCAGCTAGAACAGTAGTCCCATCTCTGAAAGGACAATTTAAATTTCACAGCTAAAATATGATTAATTTAATGAATTAAGAGTAATATAAGTGTCTTAACCCTCGGGTGCTCTTCGGTCATTTCTGACCGAACAATTTTCTGTTTTGAATATTTAAAAATCGCAGTGACTTTTATGGCATTATGTATGTGAACACACAAAAAAATTGAGGTCATGATCTGAGCATGCTAAGTGGTCTTAAAAAATAGTCACACTTGTGGTCTTTGGTCAAAAATGACCCCCCATAGGAAATGAATATTAAATTGACAAAAACACAAAAATTCACAAATTTTTATTTGTAATTTTTATGAAAAAAAATCGTTTTTGAGATTGTTTCAACTATATATTCAAATCCACAAAAAAATGTGTTCATAAACATCTGTTTGGCCGTTGCCAAGTGCTTTGGCCATTAATTTACATGACAACATTTTGGGGGCCTGAAAATGCAAAACAGGTTTCAAAGTGTTATTTTGAAAACAAAACCATTATCATGCCTGTGTAAACTACAAAAACATGAATTTGTGGAAACGGTGACATCTGAGAGTACTTGACTCCCAGTCAACATTTTCCTGACAATTTGCAGCCCAGTAATACACCAATATCCTCGTCCGTCCACAAAATAGTTTGAGGCTTTCGCCATCTTGATTGTTTGTATTCACCGCACTGTAGAGTCACATCGCCAACTACTGGCCTGGCATACATAATACAGCATTTTTAGTTGTTTTCGCGGGGATCGTTTTGACTTCTTTTTACTTCTTTTGATGTTGTCATCTGTACACAAAACATTTAAAAAATGCTAAGTAAAATTAGTTTTTAGTACATCATTGTTATTAAAACATACTCTTAGTAGTAAGCGCGTAACCATGAACTCAAATCTTTGCATTTATAAAGTTTAAATTGTTTTAAATACGTACATCATTCAGAGACACGCACAAACATGCAGACAAACGGTATCCCTCACGATGCTAAACGGCATATTTGGTAGAAGGATGACATTTAGATCCCTGCTGGCTTTTTAATTAAAGAAACTGCCATTGTGAAGGCGGGAGCGCCGCAGATACAAAGACCCACAAGCATCTTCCTTTTTCTAAAGCAAATGTAGCCCTTCATATGACCTTACGAAGAAATGACTATCCGTTAACCTTCACATTTACCAGTTACTCATTATTTTTAATTATGCCCATAGGGTTATGGATACATATGTTGGATAGGTAAAAAAAAAAAAAGAAAAGATGACTGTTGTGTAACTGCATACGTTTATGTATTAGGATGGTGGCTCTTATTTTTACATAATAGGTCATTAACACGAAGAAATGTTTCATACTGCACCAACACTTAAGGGTGTGATATTTGAAGACACTTGCAAGGAAAATTATTTATAAAAAAAAAGTGATGAGTTCCATTATGACACTTCATCATATGTTATTTTAGAGAAGCCGCATGTATAATCACCTCTTCCACTTGTTCAGTGCCTCCACCATGCTGAAATGTCTCATCTCTCTGGGTTTCATCATGTTTAAGCACTGGAGTGTGTGAGACTCAGATGATGATGATGGAATTGCTATTAGGGCTGGGATATTGCATAAAGAGCAAAAACTTGTTAGTAGGACAGAAATTGTAGAACTAGAATGGATCAAAAGAGAACACTTTTTCTATTCTGTGACTGGGCGGTGTTTTAGAATAATAGCGTCTTTATATTGCTGATATTATGACAAATTGAATTGTTTTGTATAGTAATATACCAATATATCATGCAGGTGGGTTAACTGACCAATTTGGCTGTTATAGAATTATCCCGAGCCCCATTATCAGTGATGGTCACTCTGTGTTCTGCTACCCAACCTAAATCTCTGTGCACGTGTTCTGTTTTTGTTTTTTTTTGTAAAATAAAAGTATCTTATATAAAACTTTTTAAGTACAGTTCTCAACAAGTCGCACAAGTTTGAATTGAAAGATGTTGATGATTAATGAAATTAATGATAATGGATATAAAATGCAATTAGATGAACCTTTCAATCTTTATATGTAATTTCATAATTCTATTGTCTTTGAAATATGGTTAAAGTATAAGTTTATACGTTTTAAAATTATATGCCATGTATTTAACTGATTAGTAATTATACATTTGTTATGATGACGTTGCAATATAGTTGCCTTTTAGTTCATTAATATTATATTATTTGCAAGTACAGTTAAAACGTTTTTTTAATGTTTTGAAGTATACTATAAGTTCATGTTCACGATCTAAACAAATTAAACAAATTATAGTTTCATAAAGTTCATGATAAGAATTTGAACACTATAGTACAGTCTTTTTAAAGAATTAGATTTCTAGGCCTACTTGTAAAAATTGCAAAACGCATTATTTTAATTATAAAAAAATTCTTTTTTTTTTTTTAAATAAATAATAATAATAATAATAAATAAAGAAGTTATACTGCATTGTTGGGGCAACAAGTTCACTAAAACCATGAAAAATCTTAATTTACTCGACCCCCGTAT